GTGACCTGAGCGGTTCTCCCGCGGCCCAGGCCGCACTGAGCGTCATTGCGGAGCCGGACGCGCAGCTGTGGTGGGCCGCCAAGGAGCTGCGGAGGACGAAGACGCTGTCGGACTACGTGGGCCGGAACGAGAAGACCAAGATCATCGTCAAGATTCAGCAGGTGAGCGCGTCCGCGTGCCGTTTTCCGTCCACTTTCACACTGACCCACGTTTAGGATCAGTCTCCACGTTAAAGCTCCTGAACGCTGTTGGCCTGGACTTCAAGTAAACTTTCCCCTTCACCCCACCCCGACTGAAGGGAACCCGGAGCAATTGACAGCATCGGGAGTTCGTTTTCATGGGGACGGGCTGGCCATGTTCATTTCAACATTAAGAACTTGGGCTGCCCTAACGGTCTGGCTCAGTGGATAGTGCATTGGCCTGAAGGCTGACGTGTCCCGGGTTCGATTCCAGTCACGGGCACATATCGGGGCTGCAGGCTCGATCCCCAGTGTGGGGCGTGCAGGAGGCAGCCGATCAATGGTTCTCTCATTATTGATCTTTCTCTCTCTCCCTCTCCCTTCTTCTCTGACATCAATAAAAAATGTATATTTTTTTAAAAGAACTAGGGCCATATAGTGAAAATACTTCTCGAAATGCACAGCCACCTGAGCGCCCGGCCCAGCCCCCAGGTGCTGCCGTCTAGGAGGAGGGTCGGCGCCCAACCATCTCCCATCTGCCCTCCCCCTGGGCTGCGGGCTGACGGGGGCCAGAGCGGGCGGCGGAAGCTCAGGCCCCGGGACTTGCGGTCGGCCTATTAACCTCTGCAGGTGACACGCTCTCTGTCACTTGGTCGTCCCTGACGCAGGCCTAACCGTGCTCTCCCGTCTTTGCAGAGGGGACAGGGCGCGCCCGCCCGGGAGCCGGTGATCAGCAGCGAGGAGCAGAAGCAGCTGATGCTGTTCTACCACCGCCGGCAGGAGGAGCTCAAGGTGCGGGAGCCCGTGTCCACACACATGTACATGCACATGCACGCACACGTGCACACATGCACACGTGTACATATACACGCACATACACATGCTTCCCCCAGGGGTCAGTGCTGCAGGGGGGCTTTCCAGAGCTTCGGCCTCGCCTGGGCTGTGGTCCTGCCAGGCCCCCCCCCCATAGAGTCCGGAAGCGTCTGCTTGGGCTGGAGGAGGTTACAGGCTCATCTTCCGTCTCAATGAAACATTTCTTTCCAGAAACTGGAGGAAAATGATGACGACTCGTGTTTGAACTCACCATGGGCCAACAACACTGCTCTGAAAAGACATTTTCAAGGCGTGAAGGACATCAGGTGGAGACCAAGATGAAGCTCCCCAGCGATGAAGCTTCCAGAAGCCCAAGCTCACCTCTCTGTAGGCAAACAGTAACCATAGTAACAGTGATGACGGTGACTGGTCGCACAGCCCTCGTGAAAGACGTTGGAATTTCCAGGTTTCCTAGTTTCTGAGTTTGAATTTTTATGATAAAATGTATTAAAGGTCGTAGAACTTAAACACGTCCTCAGAGAGTCTGCCTGCGCCTCCACCCGGGCGGTTCGCCTGTGAGGGCCTCCTGGGGCGGGTCCGAGGATGATCCGCTCCCTCCGTCTGTCTGTCCTGCGGGTCCTGGCATCTGCTCTCAGCTCAGCGTCAGTGGCCACTAGAGGGCGCCATCGCCTCCCCCGTTTTCTTGGGCTGCAGGTTTGTCCGAGGCTGGAGCCCAGCAGCTCGGGTCAGAGGTGAAGGTCACCTCCTGGCTGAGGCTCCACCAGATGGAGGGGCAGTCGGTGCCGGTGCCGTTTGACGTGGAACCTGGTGTGTCCCCAGGCAGTGCCCCCCCTCCCCCGCCCGCCCTCGGCTCAGCTCCCTGCTCCCTCCTCCCTGCTCCCCCCTCCCTCCTCTCCCCCCTGCTCTCCCCTCCCTGCTCTCAGCTCAGTCTTCCGAGCATGGGAAGTGGACACTTCCCTGGACGCAGACCTGGCCCCACCGTCAGCCCAAGCTCGTCACTGGGAGGGTCAGTAGCAGGGACCCCGTGGACTGGACGCAGAGCCGGTTCGCAGCCCTGTGCCTCAGCTGGGAGCCCCAGCGGGTGCCCGTGCGCCTGTCCTGTCCTTCACCCCGTCCTGGGTGCTGCAGCCGCGTGGTCTCCCTGGGCCCTCGGCTCCGGCTTCCATCCTGTTACCCACCGGCTCCGGCTCCCCTGGGATGTCCGCCCCTGCAGCCCGAGCCTGGCCCTCCTTGTCCGCCGTCCGGTGACTTGAAGACGTTTCGTACATTTTACTCATTCGTTTCACGCAGGAGGGTGAACCCACGCTCCTCCACGTGGGCCCGAAGCAGCAGTGCCAGGGCGCGCTGCAGACCGCGCTCGGGAGGCCACTGTGTGTGTGGGGGGCGGGGGGTGCAGGGAGCCTCACCCAAGGACGTTTTCCCATTGATGCTTTTTAGAGAGAGTGGAAGGGAAGGAGAGAGAAACATCGATGTGAGAGACACACTGGTTGCCTCCCACACGGACCCGGACCAGGGCCTTGGATCGAACCAGCAATCCAGGTACGTGCCCTTGACCGGGATTCGAACCCACGACCCTTCGGTCCTAACTGCTTGGGCCAACGCTCTAACCACTGAACCACCGGCCAGGGCTACAGGCCTCTGCTGAGGAATTAGAAGGAAATGCAGGAAAATCTCAGCACCACCACTCGCCTCTGGGAGACGGAGGAGGCGGGGAGGCTCACGGCCTTCGGCTCCGGGTGGACGCGGCCTCCAGGCTCGTCCTGTCGAGTCCCGGGAGCCGCTGCTGATCGACGACAGGATGACTGAAACGTCAGCAGCAGCGGAAGGTCCGCGGCCTGCGGAGCTCGGGGCGTCGGGGCGGCTGGGAGAAGGGCAGGGCCCAGGCCCAGCTGCTGGCACCTGGTGAGCAAAGCAGGCCCTGT